AAAAAAAAAAAAAAAAAGAAATTAGCACAACTGTTTCACATGAAAAAATCCACATTTGGGATATCATGATTTTAGGTAAGGGAACTTTGCTTTCCTTATACAGTTAATAATGTGTATAAATACAGAATACTTTGTTCACTAACTGTTAAGCCAGTATCCTAAGAAATTAAAAAGTTTAAAAATGGTTTAGTCACTTTTCCCAAAAAATAATAGTGTTGTGGCCAAAGGTGGAGTCTCTGGAGTCAGACTGCCTCGATTTGTAGCCCCAGCTCTGCCCTCGCCAGCTGTGAGACTTTGGGTGGGCGGCTCCATCTGCCAGTGCTTCAGCTTCCTCATCTGTCCGAGGAGAGAGACGGTGTCCACTACTGACACTATGTCTGAGACACACGGGGATCGTTATGAAAGTTTTGAGATACACAAAAATTAAAAAACAAAATCCGACAAACAAATGAAGCCCCCCCAGGAACACTGAAAAGTTGAGCAAGGTGACGGGTGAGTCAGAAAGGACACTGTCAGGTGTGTCTCCTGGGAGTGAAGTGACAGACTGTCTCAGAGCCTTCGTCCTTGCTCACGGATCAGGGATGTCTGTGGCTGCCCTCTGGCTCCCTCCCTACCTGGCCACAGGAGCTCTGCCTGCTCTCCTTCCTTCCGTTTTTCTTCTCCTGCTCCACTCTGCTGCAGCCAGAGCGGTCTTTTTATAACATAAAGGCCTTCAGTGGACTGTCCTTGCCAAAGGCCAGGATCCCCTTCCTTACCTGGCCTTTGTGACCCCTGTGTGTTCCTAGTAGCCTCAGCTCCTGCTGTGTTCTGTTTTTGCCTCAGGGCTTTTTCTGCATTAAGTATGTGCCAAGTTTGTTTCTAATTCTCGGCCTACTTGGTCCCTATGCTTCAAATGTTCTTTTCCTAGATCTTCCCAAGAGTCACTCTTTAATATTTCTTAGTTACAGCTCGGCCCCTGTAGCTCAGTGGTTAGGGCACCGACCACATACTCCGGGGTTGGCGGGTTCGAACCTTACCGGGGCCTGTTAAACAACAATGACGACAACAACAACAAAATAGCCAGGCATTGTGGCTGGCGCCTGTAGTCCCAGCTACTTGGGAGGCTGAGGCAAAAGAATCACTTAAGCCCTAGAGTTTGAGGTTGCTGTGATCTGTGATGCCACAGCACTCTACCAAGGGCAACGTAGTGAGACTCTGTCTCAAAAAAAAAAAATTTTTTTTTTCTTAGTTACACTGACATCTCCAGAGTTGTTATTTATGTATTTAATATTATTTAAGTTGTTTATTATTTATTTTACTGGTAATATTAACAGTATTACTATAAATATTTAATATTTGTCATTTATTTAATAACTGTTAATATGCCTGTAGTCCTAGCTACTTGGGAGGCTGAGGCAAGAGAATCACCTAAGCCCAGGAGCTGGAGGTTGCTGTGAGCTATGACGCCACTCTACTGAGGGTGACAAAGTGAGACTCTGTCTATAAAAAAAAAAAAAACAAAAAAAACTGTTAATATTTAACAGTATTATTCTGTTGCCCATGCTAGAGTGCAGAGGCATTAGCCTAGCTCACAGCAACCTCAGACTCCTGGGTCCAAGTGATCCATCTGCCTCAGCCTCTTGAGTAGCTGGGACTGCAGGTGCCCGTCACAACACTTGGTTAATTTTTCTCTTTTTAGTAGAGACAGCTTCTCTTTCTTCTGCAGGCTGGTCGCAGACTCCTGAGCTAAGATTACAGGTGTGAGCCACCAGGCCCAGCCCAGAGAGCTTGTTTTGACCTTTCCATGTAAAGTAGGCCCTAAGTTACTCTCTAGATAATTGTCTCATTTTGTTGGTTTCATAATGGACTTATCGTAGGTGAAGATGTGTTTTTCCTAGTTGTTACTAAGCTCTAGACTTTGTTCAAATATTTGTTTAGCATCGACTGGCCGTCACTGGGATGGAGAATAAATAAAACAAAATCAGTCTGTTCTTGGAATTCACAGTCCAGTGGGAACATAAGCACCTGAGGGGTGTAGAATTTTGTCTACATATTCTAGGAAGAATTAGAACATGCACAGGTATTGTGGAAGCAGAGATAGGAGAGCTTACCTCTGTCTGGCATAGCTGGGGAAGGTCTCCAGAGTTGGGGCAGCTGAGCTGTCCTTGAGATGATTGTGTTAAATAGACAAAACTTGACTGCTTGTGTCACACACTATAGTCAGCGTCCTGACCGTGCCATAGTTTTGCTGTTTTTTTCTCAGATGCTTCACGAGCACTAGGCACTGTGCTAAGCAATTGGGATGTGGCAGTGAATGGGAGACCCAGCCAGTCCTGCTTTCAAGAAGGTGCATGATAAAACAAAGATGTGAACCACATACTTAGTTTTAAGAAGTGCTTCGAAGGAAATAAAGATGTTGATATAAAAGAGAGTAAAAAGTAGAGGCCAACTTTATAAACAGAGTGGTGAGGGAGGACCAGTCTGGGAATGTGTCATTTGAGTCAAGACATGAAGAAGAAAAAAGGACCAGCCTTGGAGATCTGGGGCAGACGTATAACTGGCAGGAGAGTACTGTAAAGATGCTGGGTGAGGTTGGGTTCAGAACAAAGAGGCTGACGTGGCTGGCCCAGAGCAAGGGTGATGTGAGTCTGGAAGAAGCTCAGGAGCCAGATTAGGCAGGGACAGCCTCTTAGGACAGGGGTGGAAGGTTTAGGGGGTGTTGCAAGAGCCCTGGGAATGGGCTCAGCGCCTATAGCTCAACCGGCTAAGGCGCCAGCCATGTACACCTAAGGTGGCGGGTTCGAATCCCCAGCCCAGACCCGCCAAACAACAACGACGGCTGCAACCAAAAAATAGCCGGGCGTTGTGGCGGGCACCTGTGGTCCCAGCTATTTGGGAGGCGGAGGCAGGAGACTCGCTTGAGCCCAGGAGTTGGAGGTTGCTGTGAGCTGTAATGCCACGGCACTCTACCCAGGGGGACAGCTTGAGGCTCTGTCTCAAAAAAAAAAAAAAAAGAGCCCTGGGAACTAAGTAGAAGGCAAGAAGGGGCGGCTGGCTGGGCCTCGGTGGCACTAGTGGGTGAAGCGGAGTGGACAGTGGTGATAGTATCTGATAGAGTATCTGGATTTTAGGAGTTCACATAAAGGGGCAGGTGAGGGGTGATTGTGGCTTGAGCACCCGAGGTAGGGAATACTGGGGAGAAACTGGTTTCCTAGGGCTGGAAGTTGAGAACCTTGATTTTGACAGTGGAAGCTACCAGGTTGGCAGTTGGGTATGTGAGCCTGGGGTCAGTTGAGGTCAGGCCTAGAAATCATTAGCACGTCAATGCTGTTTAGAGTCAGGGAGACTAGACATGGTTATTTAAGGAGATAGTGAAGTTGGAAAATGAAAAGGAGCCTGGTGCATTTGGAAGTTGGAAGGAGAAGATGGCAAAGTAAAGGAGACTAAGAGAAACGGGAGGGAGAGCTTGAGATCGCATTCTAACGCAGTCAAGGGAAGGGAGGCTTTCTGTGGTGGCTTCTGCATTTTACCTCATTCTATTTGAGGCAAAACAAGTCTACGTAACTTCCTCAAGAATACTCTGCTAGTAAGCCGAGGCTCTTAACCACTCTGTGTATTTATCAAGGAAGGAGAGAGTTGCTGAGAGGTTAAGTGAGGTGATTCTAGCAAGGTGTTCATTGGATCTTGCTACGTTGTGTTGACCTTGCCCAGAGCCCGCAATGCTGGAGTGGCAGAGATAAAAGCTAGATCTGAGTTGGCTGAACAGCAAACAGGAGGTGAGGAGAAGGAAACAGAAGTTGTGGCTGGGCCCCGTGGCTGACGCCTGTAATCTCAGCACTTAGGGAGACTGAGGCGAGTTTGAGAGCAGCCTGAGCCAGAGTGAGACCTCAGCTCTAAAAAACTAGCTGGGTGTTGTGGTGGGCGGCTGTAGTCCCAGCTACTCAGGAGGCTGAAGCAAGAGTATCGGTTAAGCCTGAGAGTTTGAGGTTGCTTTGAGCTGTGACACCATGGCACTCTACTGAGGGCAACAAAATGAGACTGTCTCAAAAAAAAAAAAAAAATAAAAGGAAACAGAAGTTATAGGCAATCTTACAAAAGGGAACTAAGTAATGAAATGATAGTTCAGTGGGATTGTGGGTCAAAGGGCATTGGTTGGTTTTTACTTTGTTTTTGTTCTGTAAATAGTCCCAATTCAGATCAGTTAGGTCTCTGAACTCTGCCCTGCATTTTCAGAATTTTTGTTTGGCATTCATTCTTAAGAACAGCGGGGAAAGGACTGAGAAGCAGTATGGGTAAGATGTTTATTCTTTCCTTTCTTAGAAAACAGTTTATCTGCTAATATAGACCATATGTATATGAGGTGTTTGGCTCATACAAATGAGAGAACTTTGTTAGAAGTGGATGAGGAAAAATAGCAAGTTTTACTTAAAATTTTTTTTAAAGCAATGAGAATGTTTTGTGACACCCTAAGATTACTTAATTTAGAACTTAATTTAACTCAAAAGTGTATTTTAGAAAACTTATACTTTTTTTTTTTTTTTTTT